GTGTGTGTGTGTGTGTGTGTGTGTGTGTGTGTGTGTGTGTGTGTGTTATGTACCTTGTTAAGAAGTTGGTGAGGGGAAGGAGGCAGGAGAAAGGCATTGCCGTGTTCTGTTGTGTAAAGAGTAGAGAGGCGCAAGGCAGATGGGGCTATGGAGCAGGGAGGTGGTGTTGTTATTAACACGTTTAATTTGGTACCTGTGGCCAGGATCTTTTACCTCCTATGCCTACTCTTCCCTTTTGGGGTAAACGACACTGAAGTTAGGGTTTACCTGCCCATCTTGCTACTCAGGAACTTTCTAAAAGAGAGCATCATACTGAAGTAGAAAGAGCACTCAATGCTGCTTAGCATTGAGAGCCTAGGCTCTCAGAACTCAGAACCTGGGTTTCCTCATCTGTCAGGGAGATTCATATTTCATGGGCTTTTGTGAGACTCAGTGAAAATGGCTGTGAAAGCGCTTCATATGCTGTGATAGTTCCTTCAGATGTAAAGAAGTTATTAAACGAGCCCTGTGTCATCAGAAACTTCCAGGGCCACTCTGCTGCCTGTTCCTCCGAGTGCCCCAGTAGGTGCGGTCCCAGGCCACAACTCTAGGGACAGTGCCCTTTCATTGGTGCCCCTCCCTGGCATCTTCCCATCTCTCTCCTGAACTTCTTACACACGCACACACGGTTGAGAAGTTGGAGGAGAGAAGGAGGCAGGAGAAAAGACATTGCCCTGTTCAGTTTTAAGAGACTCAGGGGAGCGGGGCAGATTGGATGGTGGAGCAGGTAGCTAATTGCAGGTGTAGGACCGCTTCTTGGACGGGAGGCACAGTTTTCTTTCCTCGAGGAAGGGAACCATTTGTTTAGCCAGGGGCCCACTGGGTCTGGGGTTTTGTTGTCTCAACTCCATCACTACCTGCTTTTTTGCTTATTAGTTCACCCCTCTGGACCCCCACCTCCTCCCTTAGAAAAAGAAGTAAAAGATGTTACCACAAGGATGAATGATATGTACAATTACTATCACTGCAAAGGCAGGGAGAGGAAATGACAGGGGAGTTACTTGAGCTGAGGGGCACTGGCTGAACCAGACAGCTTGGCCTTCTCACTGTCCCCTGGGGAACACGAATTGGTGTTTTCACCTTAGTGCAGTGAAGCATATGACAGCCCAGCACCTGCTGTGGGTCCCTCGGTGCTTGTACTTGTACACGATCTCTAAGTTGGTCCTGGAACACACCTGGCAGGGAGACTAAGGAGGCACTAGAGGTTGCATCCTTGGCTGGTATGTTTGGAGATGCACAAACCTATGTTTGAGGTGGTACTGCTCCGAGTAGAGGGTCTGTGCCCTAGTGTTTGTGGAATTAATTATTTTTATTTTCGTGGATTATTTTTTCCAGTCCTTTCATTTAACAGATAAGACTTGTGCAAAGTCATAGTGCGAGTTCCTAGCAGAGCCAGGTTTAGAAGCTGGGCTTCCTGGCTTATTCCATCTGGTGAGGGTTTCCTCCAGGAACCTGGAAGACAGTCGTTGTTCTTGCGTCCTGGGGGCGTCTTGGCTCAGTGCACACGCAAGATAACTGGAGGGGCCCAACGCTAGTAGCACGGCCCCTGCCCCTGCTCGGGTTAGGGACCATTCTTCTCCTTCCTCGGAAAACAGCTGCTGGAAGGGGCCTTGGGGAGGAAGGCTTTTAAAACTACTAGAATTGCCCAGGGGATGTGGCAAACTAGAGGGAGTCTGCAGCTAGGAACTTTTTGAAATGGATTATTGAAGACTTAACTCGAAATAGGAATTATGTTGGGGGAAACTCCAGCGTGTTGTGTTGGCGCCCCCTTCTGGCTGATAGAGAGCAGAGCTGGTGAGATGGCTCTTGACTTGGTGGCTTTTTTTCTTTTTTACCTTCCTGAGGCCCCGGCTCCAGGGGCGAGTCATGCGCAGGCAGTGGTCCCTGATTTACTAACGGGTTCACCTGTCCTTCGAACAACCCGAGTTCAGGGCTAGTGAGATTGGTATTTTCCCGGGCTCACGTTAGGCTTCTCAGACCCCGAAACAGGTGGGAAGATCCTCCCTGATGATTTTCCGTTTTCCACCTCCTTCTGATTTTTGATAGTTAAATTGTAGATGGTGAGTGGAAGCCCTTATCAAACCTTTCATTTCCAAGTTGAAGAATTAAGAGGTGAAGCCTGCCTAGCACTTTCTTTGAAAGGTCTTTACGGGGAGCCGACTGGTTTGGCAGCAGTCTACCTTGGTTCAGTTCATTAAGTATTGATTGTTGACACGGTGTGCCCGGCCCTGTGTGAGGGGCTGGTGACGCAGAGGCAAGAAGGACACAGTCTTTGGAGGAGAGATTGTGGTGATTAAGCTTGAGCTTTGCAGTCGGAAAGACCAAGCATTGAGTCCTGGCTGCACCACCTGCTGCCACGTGCACCTAATCGAATGGCAGCTTCTCTGAGCCTCAGTTTCTTCCTCTGTCAGATGAGGGTAGTGATAACAACCTCACCGAGTTGTTATGAAGATTAAGTCATAGGTAGCAAGTGCTTAATAAATGGTAGCAAAGTTTAAAAAGGCAGTCTCAGTCGAGTAAGAGACAGAAACAGAGACAGTTCAGTGATGACCAGTGCAGTGGGGGAGATGCAGGGAGCCCAGAGGTACTGTCAGCGTGGAGTCTAGGACACGCCCCTGGACCATTATTTGTTAACCACCCTCATGGGTCTCCTTTTCCTGCAGGCCTACTTTTTTGATGCACCAGAGATGGACCATCTCCCAACAAGCACAGCTGCTCCAAACCAAACAGCTGCAGCAGCCAAGTCCAGCTAAAGGGGAAAGTGAGCGATCACCGTTTCATCTTCTTGCTATGAGGTACAGTAAAAATGGGCAGGGGCCTCAGTCCTGCTGCCGTTAGCATGAAGCGCTGAGAGGGCCAGGCCCTTCTGTCTGTCTGCATGGTTCAGTGTGGTGTGTGTGCACACGCATGTCCCTGTGTGTGTCCCTCTTGCTGAGGCTTCAGTTGGGAAGTAGACTCATCTGGCTTTATACATTTGGAAAACACGAGCTCTCAGATTCTTCTGTAAGAGGAGTTCCTGCCTTTTGGCCCCAGCATCCCCTCTCCTCTCCTCCCTGTCCCCTTCCCAGCAGCACAGCGTGGATTTGTTCCATTTGATTACAGTCTAGTGGTTTCCTCCAGTTTCTCTGTGACTTCTCAGGCTGGCCTCAGACCCTGAGTGTGACCGCTCTTGAATTACTCATGCAGTTCTCCGAAGCTTACCAGTTCTCACGCCCAGTTTGTTCTTGGGCCTCTTTGATGATTCCACTGTTGGTGGTTAGCTCAGAGGGTCAGAGTACAGGAAAAAGACCCTGTTCCTCCATGACTGGTCTCTCGCCTCCCCGTTCCACCTCCTCTGTGTTCTGAGCCTGCAGCCGTGCTGAGCTGCTTGCCATCTCCAGAACACATCCTACCTTTGCACTTGCTGATCCAGTTGTCTGAAATGTTCCTTCCCTTCCAGCAGTCATCACTTACCTGTGAACCCATTACACCCTATATTATACATCACTTTATTAGTGGTGCTCGAAACACCAGTCACTCACTGTCAGTGTGTCCATCTGCTTATCCATTTGTTCACGCATTTATTCATCCATTTGTCCTCCATGTACTAGGGTGTCTCCCCATAAGAACAAGGAATGGGTATTTCTCTGTTTCTTCATTGCCCACCACATGACGTGGTATATACAGTGGGTGCTCAGTAAATGTTTGTGGAATGAATGAATGAAGCCACACTCTGCACATGATCTCACTGTGGGCCAAAACCTTTACTCTATGTTGTAATCATGGGCTGACCTTTCTGCCCAAGCTGCTATCTCCCAGAGCAACAGGGTGTGGTGCAATGACCAGGGCCTTTAGAGTCAAACAGAATGAAAATCCCTGCCCTACCATGTACTAGCAATGTGCCTGGGGCAAGGGGCTGACTCTCTCTGAGCCTCAGCTAACTTACTATGAAATGAAGATGATACAGTCTACAGGCATACCTCGGAGATATTGTGGGTTCGGTTCCGGACCACCACAGTAAAGTGAGTATTGCAGTAAAGCAAGTCACATGAATGTTCTGGTTTCCTAGTGCATATACAAGTTATATTTACACTATGCTGTAGCCTATTAAGTATGCAACAGTATTATGTCTAGAAAAGCAATGCACATACCTTAATTAGAAAGTATCAATACTTCATTGCTTAAAAAAATGCTAACCATCATCTGAGCCCTCTTTGAGTCCTAGTAGTAGTGACATCAGAGATCACTGATCAGAGATCCCCATCACAAATAGGATAATAATGAAAAAGTTTGAAATATTTCAAGAATTACCAAAATGTGACACAGAGATGAATGCTCTTGGGAAACTGGTGCCAATAGACTCGCTCAGTGTGGAGCTGCCACAAACCTTCAATGTGTAAAAAACAACAATATCTGCAAAGTGCAATAAAGGGAAGAACAATGAAGTGAGGTATGTGTGTGTATTATATTACAAGATTGTAGTGAAAGTAGAGATCGTGTTTATAAAAGCTCCTGGCACATAGTTGGTGCTCAGTAACAGAATCAAGCTGCGGCCCCTCTGAAAGGGGTTAGTCATCTGTGCGGAAACTTGGTGGTTCTTACTCACTTTACCGTCACCCTTTATTTCCTTTTTGTAAAACAAATGGAGATTTTCCCTCTTAGTTGAGGAATTTAGGTTGCCGACCCTGCAAGGTGACAAGATGTGATTGGTCAAACAGAGGCCTCTCCGGTTGCCTTGTTGGTGCGACAGTCATCCTGGCCAATGGCGTGACTGGGAAACCACTGTAAATGTCAGAGCCTGATTTCCCCACTTCCTCTCTTCACATTATAGGTGATGCTAGAATCAAAGAAGGTCAGAGCCCTTGGAGATGGGATGTGCTTCCCTCTTCTTTTTACAATAAGGAAGCTGAGGCCAAGAGAGGACAGTGCCCTGCCCAAGGCCAGGTTTGGTAGCAAACTAACGTGTATATCACATTCTGTGTTACAAAACACTGTCCAGATCACTCTCATTGGCCGCTCTTACCAGCCTTGTTGTCCCCCATTATATGGATGAGGGAAGCTGGTCTTTAGTAAGTCTGAGTTGACTAAGATCACCCCTCTCTTAGAGGCAGAGCTGGGAATCAAACCCAGGTCTTCGGGAACCAATTCCTGAGGTTTTTTCCACTTTCCCACTTTTTGGGCTGATGTTCTTTTTACCACGAAAACTTGTAGGCTCCCCTGCTGACCTTTGGCTCTTTTGGGGGTGGGGAACACCTACTTTGCTGATCTAGAGGTCTCCACACTACTGTGATTGCACAACCTGTCAGTTAAGAATTTGAGGACTGTATTATCTATTTCTGCCTAACAATATTGCCACAAACCTAGCAGCTCAAAAAACACACATTCATTATCTCACTGTCTGTGAGTCAGGAATCCGGGCGTAGCTTTGCTTAGTTCTCTCCTTCTCCTTCTCCTTGCTTAGTACTCTCACAAGGCTGCACTCAAAAGTGTTGCCTGCGCCGGGGGTCTCGGCTGACAACTGGGCTAGGGAAGGATCTTCTTCCGAGCTCACATAGTTCTTGGCAGGATTCGGTTCCTTGTGGCCTGCCAGACCAATGGCCTCCTTGCTGATGGTCAGCTGGAGGCTGCCCTCAGTTCCTTGCCACATAGGCCCCTCCATATGAGGACTTTTACTTCATCAAAGCCACAAATGGAGATAATCAACGGAGACTCTTAGGAAGATGCAAGTTACCGTCTATGTAACGTAATCACAGAAATGACATCCATCACCTTTGCCGTATTCTTTGGATTAGAGGCAAGTCGCAAGTCTTGCCCACACTCCAGGGGACAGGACACATCAGGGCATAAATACCGGATCATTAGAGGCCATTTTTATTTTTTAATTTAATTTAATTTAATTTAAATTTTTAGCTTTATGGAGGATGAACTGACAGAATTGTAAGATATTTAAAGTGCACATTGTGATGATTTGCTGTACATATACATCATGGAGGCCATCTTAGAGTCTCTCTGCCACAAGCACACACCTTCAGTGACACGTTTATAGTTGAAGCATTTACAAAGACTGTTGTCAACCCATATAGTAACTATTAAAGCTTAATTCCTTATTTTTTGATGAAAAATAAATATTATAGAAGTTCTAATATTTTGCTTCCACTGCCTCAGTGGGTTGTTGCTGGAGCCCACTGCCTTAGAATGAGCGCGTGGTAGGGTGTCTGCATTACTGTTGAATTGTCTGCACATTTGTCCAGCTCATCCTGCAAATGGACTCCATTGACTGTTAGCAGAGAAGGCCCCAGAGCAGGATGGATCTTCATCTGAGGTCCATGGGGAAGGGACTCTTATTTCACTTGGACTCCCCGGCCTTGGCCTAATACCCGCCTAGCACAGACAGGGCAAGTGCTTCGTTAATAGCGTGGGTGGAGGTGACTTTGTAAGATTCAGGCAAGAGTCAGGATGTGGGCTTTTACCAGAAGTGCCTTGGCTCACTGAGTCCTGGATCATAATTTACTTCCTCACTCAATGTTTATTTGAGGCCACTTTGTGGCCTCTGTGAGCTGGGCACTGGGGACCTGCAAAATCAGATAGAGTCTGCCTCAAGGCGCCTTGGTCCATGGGTAAAACAGCTCACCAGATAAGGACCAGGCGGTGGGCCAGGCTGTGTGAGAAGTGCATGGCCAAGTTGTGAGCTGATGGGCACTGTGGGAGCACAGAAACACTGACTCATTTGGCCTGGGGGAAGGCTTCACAGAGGGGGTCTTGCGTGAGCAGAAAGCAGTTAGTTACCCGTTTTTCTGAAAAGAGTAGTCAACTTCCCGTGGCTTTTGGGAAAGTGAAGACGTAGGCTGTTCATTGAGACACAGTGATGCGCTGTGGGCTCACATCACCTAGAACAAGAAAACCTGAGCTCAGCTGCAGAGGGACAGAGGTGGAGGACACAGTGGCCACAGCTGCCTGGCTCTCTGCCTTGCCTCAGAATACCTGACATCAACCTGGAGAGGGGCTCTCTCAGCCTGCTCCTGGGCTGAGACTTCATACATACAGTTCCTTTCATACATTTTGGTTATGAAGTCTCCAGACCAAGTGTCCCAGGTGCTATACACCTTCAGAGAGTCAGAAGCTGGCATCTTGGAAGATCCTGGCCCTTAGGGCCCTTGCAGACCTCCCATCCTGATTTACACAGATTTGGTACCTATGGGCTTTGCTCAGATCTATAAACTTGGGTGTCAGTGTCTCCATTTGGGTATCAAGTCTCTAAATGAGATAGTGATGAACAGTTTCTTCGGAGCCTCCCTGGCAGAAGCATCAGCCGCTTTGCCAATGAGAGGGCTGTCCAGAGCCCTGAGCGCTGCAGATTTATGAGCTGGCTGTGCCTCCCACTGTAAGCTGTGGACTGCCAGCTTTCACTGGAAAAGAATGACTTCTAATCTCACAGATAACTTTCCTCATGGAAATCTGTGCAGTGGAGGGCTTAGCCTGGAAGGGATTACTGGGAGAGCATTAACCCCTTCTTTCCCTAGAACTTCAGGATCACGAGGGAGCCTCCAATTACTTGTAATCAGGGAAGCTACCTCTACATAAGTCATTGAGACATTATAAAGAACATCTGGCTTTCTTCTTGCCTTCCTTCCTTCCTTCCTTCGTTCTTTCTGTTTTATATTAACTTATCACCTGAGGGCCAATGCCAGTTCTTCTCTGAGCCAGGACCCTGGTGCACCTAGGGAGTCTTACTTTGGCTTGAGGGATGGAGTATCTGAAGGACTGTATTCAGATTGGGGCTACCTTCCCAGGGGCAATGACAAGTGGCTCTGTCCAG